TACTTACTGTTAAAAAAAAAAGAAACAGGGTAAAAGGGTTAATGAAGGAAGGGGCTGCTAATTATTTTTTTTGGGGGGGGAGGGCAGCTACTTTAGAAATGGTGGTGGAAATATTTGGGCTGAGACCTGAATAAGAACAAGAAACCAAAATCTGCATAAAAAGCAGACAGAGCAGAGGTAACGACTCATGCAAAACCCCAGGGCGGAAAGCACTCGGTGTGCTGCAGAAGGGCACAGCCAGACGCAGGTGGACGGAGGGAACGAGGGACGGTGGTGTGAGGTGAGGAGGCTGGGAACAGAGCTGCCATTCTGCAAACCCAAGGGTGCAACACTTCATACCTCATCATTTTCTTTAACTTACAGACGAACTCTGAGCACCACCTCATCCAGTGTCTGTCACGAGAGAGGATCTGTCACATATCTCGCTGGGGTCTCCCATAATCCTAGAGTTTGGGGGCCCAGGACAATGAGGGCTGAGCTGAGCTGCTAATATTCACAGGTTGAAACCTCTAGCAAAAGGCAACTGTAGTGCAGGACCCAGGCCTTCTCCTGAGCTGCTGGGCCAGTCTTAGAACTTTAGCCTCTTCTGGGCACGGTGAGGCTGGGGCAGGCTGCAGGGTTTGGGAGACCCACGCTACTTCCAGTTTTCTCTCTCAGGGCCCCAAAGCACTCGCACTCTCCCTGCTCCAGCCAAATCCCTTAGAGCAGGCGAGGCTTCTGGCAAACAAAAGGCGTGGCTCACTGGCTGAGTGTCCACCTATGAACCAGGAGGTCACGGTACATGCCTGGGCTGCAGGCTTGATCTCCAGTGGGGGGGGGGGGGGGGGGGGGGGGGGGAATGTGGGAGGTAGCCAACCGATTCTCTTTTATCACTGATGTTTCTCTCTTCCTCTCTCTCTGAAATTAAAAAAAAATTATATATTTAAAAACACACCAAAAGGCAGGTTGTCTGTGCTGCTCCTACTTCCTGCTGGGCAACTCAAACCCTCTGAGGCAAAGGAGCAAAAAGGCCTTGCTAGTTGCTCCAACTGAAACCGGGTAGGGGCAGTACTGCTTGCCCCCGTGTTTTAGACCGATCGCTCTGCTCCAGCGTGGAGTTCAGAGGTAAGGAGGGTCGGAAACACAGCTTCTGCCCTAAAGCTATGTCAGTGGTGACTGTGTCTAACTTCGGTGGCTACCTTCAGTCAGCGAGGGGATTTCTGTCCCTGTGACTGGGGGTGGGGGCTCTGCACCTTCCCAGGCGGCACTCTGAGTCACAGTGCCAGGGTGGGAGGGCAGAAATCTTTCCTCTCTTTGCTTCTGCACTGAGAATTCTCATCTCAAAAGGCCTTAGAACTATTGCTGACTCCATCCTTCCAGCACAGAGTTCAAAGTAAAATAATGTGAGATGAATTTATTTTTTTATTGGTTAGGAAGAATCTAAACGTCTGAGTCATCACGCCTGACACCCACGGCTAAGGGCGTGTCTGGCAGCTTTGAAACTCAAAACACGCCAGGCGTGGCCTTGGCCAGTGCACCTGTCTGGCCCTGTCGGGTCCTGCTGACTTTTCAAACTTGGTGATACTCCCTCTCAACTCTGCATCTCCAGGTGACCCTCTGCCTCTCGGCTCCACAAACTGCCATGGGCCACTGTCTGTGATAAATCAGCTTTCCTGACCAAATGCACTATCTTTCTTGAAATTATTCTACAACCCCAAGTTCGCCAGATCTGTCACACCCTTAAGTCACTCAGGCTGGTAACCTTGTCTTCTTGAATCTTCTGGTCCCTAGATCCCCTATCCATTAGGCTGTCAAAATGTGGATTCTGTGAAATGGCCAGTTCTGATATCACCCTGCGAGGATTACCACGAGAGAGGGGAGCTGTTTTCCTGCGGGATCTTCCAACCACCAGGCAGTGTGAGGCTAGCTGGCATCAGGCCTTCGGAGCAAAGAGAATAGTTAATTTCTTCATTTCAAAAAGTTACGCCGTGCTGGAATAAAGCATGTTTTGGAAAAGCACAGTGCAAACTGCTACAGATCCTTTGTTCCAACTTAGTTGTAGGGACATCCAGAGAAGAGACATGATTAAACAATAATTTCACTAGACAGAAACCTCAAACTTACTTTGATGTTCTATGCTGACATTTACAAAATATACACATGTGTTTCAATTTTTTATTAAAATACTTTTTTGTTCATAGGGACAACCAAAGGAAAAAGTACATAATTTTATATGTTGTAGATCATGTGAAATACAACAAACATGGGCTCATGGGAATGCAGAATAGATTTAAAAATATTCAAAGAAGCTTTAATAAAAAACAAACTTTAAATATGTGGCTTATTTATATGTTCACCTCATTTTTCAGAAGTTTCATTTCTTTTCTCCATTTTAATGCTACTGTGATTTATAAATAATGATTCAAATAATCTAACATCTCATCAATTTTGTTTTCTGAAACCTTGGAAATCATATTTTTAAGTGAAGGCCTCTCCTTTACAGCATTCTATGTAAACAAAGACTTACTTTATTTGAATTACCATTTGATTTGGTGCCATTATAGTTTCAATAATAATTAGATGTTATTAGGAGAAGTTGGGGCAGAAAAACCTGCTAGCAAGGACATGTTTTACTATAGGAAAGAACCTTTTATATGTGGCTTTTATAATGCCTACTGATTTAAAGTTTAGTGTTCTTTAATCTAGTCAAAAAATGGTAAGAACCTAATTTTTTATTTAAAAGAAAAATAATTTTTTACCAGGGCTTCTGTATGGTAGTGAATTGTGCTTAGAACGGTAATAGGTCTACATTTTAGCGGTGCTACTTGCTTCCTAAATGTTATATTTTTAATTTGAAAAAAAATATTGTTATTCAAAACCTGAAATGGAATATTTCAAGTGAACTCTGTGTTTCAACGCCTTCATAAACAAGAAAAAATTAAGCATTACATTTAGGGATAATTTCTATTGGGAGAAAGAGAATATAAAAAAATCAATTAAAACATAATATGGGTCAAGAAATTATCTTCCCAATGTAAGGGGAAAAAGATAAAGTACATTTAAAAATTTAATGATGAAGATCGAAAAAGATGATAAAATGCAGTTTTAAAAAGTTTGTTACTGTATTTAAGAAAACATTAAGCATGTGTTAATAAACTCAAAAGTATTCTTCTATTCATAGATAAATATGAAATTACTTTGAAAAACTGCGAAGTTGAATGATGCAACAGGTTACAGATTCCTTGAACATTTAAGTTCAAGAAAACCTTCACCTTTATTGGTATTAATGAAGAAAGGGAGCTAAAATGTTTTAAGGCATTTTAAACAGAGGCATTCTAGGTAAAAGTAAGAAAAGGATATCCAATGTCTTCCTATTAAAAAACATTCATTATCTAAATTTCAACTTTATAAAAAGCTAAAGTACCTTGAGTATTCATCAGAATTACCTGAAAGAGCAGAAAAGATATTAAGGCTTCTAACTTTATGAGAATAGTTCATCATAGTAGTACATATGGTCTTGAAACTCACTACTGGTCAGATAATTAATACAAATACAAAGTGTCTAACAGCATCATCTATTTTTATGTAGTAAATATTTAGTCATCCAAAGGTATTCCTAAAAACTTATGTGTAATTCAAATGTGTCCTGTTTGAGAAATGAATAACTTTATAAAGTTAAGAATCTCTGTAATATAAATATGTTTTAGATGCTTGAAGATTGCAAGGGCACATAGTAGCTAAGTTTATCTTTATTGAAGCGTTATATAAAAAGCTGACAAAATGTTTTGTAGTGTATTTGAAGTTAAAGTTATCTTGAACAAAGATTTTGTTTGTTTCATCATCTTAACCTCCTACTGTATGATATTTAATAAGAACAACTGATCTAGATATAAACCTAAAAAAAAGATTACAAGGTAACAAAATAATTAATGTAAATAGTTTTACATTTGTTTCCCATTAGAATCCCCAGTATCTTCGACCTTCCAGTGAGTTCTCTGCTCTAGCCCCTCTATCACTCATCTATGGCAGAGCGTGGCTGTGTGAGCTGAGGCGTGGGCTCAGGCTCTGCCTGCGCACAGCTTCACCTTTCATCTCTGCCATTTCTGTCCAACGGACAAGTTGTTTCTTTGCCGCTCTGCACGGAGTCTGATCTGGCAGTCATTTTCCATTCCGAGTGCTCTTTACACAGGTACCGTAAGTCAGAGAAATGCTTGAACTTCCTAACGATTTATTCTAGCAGCATATTTACTGCGGTTTCCTAGGTGTGCCCTGAAATTCTTGGTAAATATTCTTTGTTACTACACTACGTACATCGGCCCTTTGGGCAGGAGGATGGAAGAGAAGGAGAAACCTTCCCTAACGCCTTCCCTAAAATATGTGTATTATAGGATGGATTCTATTAGTAAGAATTTTAAACTGTAAAACATAGTAAGCATTTACTTCCTAAAACCAACATAAAAAGGTTTAAAATTAAGCTTTTTATGGTGATTATAATGAATTCTCAGGGGAATGCATTTGGGTATCTATACTATTTCTGGAACAGATGAACGAGGCACAGTAAAGAATGGCGTACGACCATAAAATCTCAGTGTCCTAGCAGTCCATGAAGAAACCATAACTTACGCTCACAGGCTCTAACACTCCCACACGAGGGTTTGGCATGTTAGAGGAAAAGGACATCAGGCTTTCTGTTAGAACCTCAGCTCTGTCAAGTATTCTCCGTGCAACTGCTTCTCACGTGACCAAAGCTGAGCGTGTATCTTTATGTTCGTTTCCCTTTAGAATCCCCAGTATTCTAAAGGGAAACAAACAGGAGAAAGGGCCTATTGCTGGTGGACAGTAAATCACTATGAGCAGTTATCCCAATTTAAAACATTGCCGAATTTGACGTACTCTAAAAGCAACTCAGTCCGAATTCTTCACATCTTCTTAACCTGCTGGCATTCTGATGCAACCAGCAGACATTGGTGAAGAGCTTTTCGTACCTTCCTTTTTGACTCGATTGCTTTGGTTTTCACCTCTTTGCTTTCTTTAAAACATGCAGTTCATACATTTGACAGTTTTACTACCATAGTCAATGCATTCTGGACCAATACACTCGCAGCAGGCGTTATGGAACCAGCGGTATTTGGATGCCCCCATGGACTCGCAGGATATCTTACATTGATGTATGGACATGCAGTCATCAAAATAAACCACAGTACACATGTGTTCTGAAAAATAAAAAATTAAGATTTTAGAGCAAGAAATAAGAAATAAAATGCTTTTGTACTTTGCTGGATATTATTGACAGTTATTTAATCTTAGTTCTCTTATTGCTAGTCTGCACAGAACAACAGATGAAGTATAGGAAAAAAGATCTCATTCGCTAACTACATGGAGAAGGAAGCCAATCTCTCTCACCCCAGCTGAAGAACGCAAAGGGCTTACTTAGACACTTTATTAGGTTTCAGACTTTGATCTGAAAGTTAGATTACTGGGCTTAACAACATGTGCCTATTAAACTGGACATTTCTGATAAGATTTCCTATGAGAGAATTTTTCAACTAAAAGAGGTTTGAGAAATACTGTTCTGAAGTTATACAGAGAATTCATAATAAAATAAAACAAACTTAATTCAAATGATCATGAATGAGTAGCAATGTTTGGTACAATCCAGCATTAGCTATTAAACTCTTAAGTTAAATTAAGCAGACTGGGCATTGGCGGTGTAGTCTTAACTTTCTGATGTTAGTAAAACCAAAACTGACTTGAAATTAAATCATGCCAAGGTTTTGATACACTTGTCTTAGATATTAATGAAATACTTCAAAACACTGATATGTAGTGTCCAGATTCTCAGATGTTTGTTGTGTGAGTTTTGTTTAGTTGTGTGTATTTCCCCACTAAATGTCTGGCACATTGCAATCCTCAAAAAGGTGGTTATCTTTGTTGTATTGACATAATCAGTGACTTGTACAATCAGCAATAGCATTTGAGCAAGTTCTAGCAGTAAGCAATATTTTCAGTTATAAGGTTTTAAAAATGTAAAAATGGATTTAAACTTGCTGAATGTAAGGATTGAACTTCGTCACTGTAGCTTTAGTAATTGCTTGTTGTATGTGTTGTGCATATTCTGATTTTGATTAAAAAAAAAGTTGAATTGCAGAGTGAAAAAAAAGAGAAAATACTTTTCTTACTATTAACATTTTCTAGTCCTACTTTCCAAGCAACCACTTATGATTGTTTAAGTTCTCCTGGTGGTTAACCCCATATGACTACCTAGCTCGCAGGATTTATTTATCTGAAACAAACAAACAAATAAATACATACATACATACATACAGGACAATACAAACCATTGACAGAGTATATGACTAAAGGCTAAGTTATTTCACAGAGCCATTTAAAGAACAGATAAACCACTAGGGGTCTGAATAATAAGGGAAGGCTTAATAGCAAAAAGCTGGACTTGTGTTAGGAAGAATTAAAAGCAAAGCTACCACGTAACAAAATAAGGAAAGTCACAAGAGATGAGAGTAGTGTGCACAGGGATGGAGTGAGGCGAGTCCGCTGCAGTGGATAGAGGATGGGGTCTGGTTAAACAGGGAAACTGAGGGGATTGGCAGAGCTCTATGCCAGGCAAACTACAGGGGTCACCAGTGAGCCAGGCGGGTGGGGGAACATTTAAATCCCCAAGTGATTGGTACCTCCCAAACTCACTTCGTTACTTATTCTACTATTATTTATTGAGTATCTTCTAGGGAATAGCTATGAGGGGAATCAAAGAGTAATCAGAGAATTCAAGGAACTAAGTAGAAATTGTTAGATCTATAAGTTACAGACAACAAATCAAACTAAAATTTGGGAGGAGTAGGAAGTGGCTATCTCTACCTGTGGGGAGGGGCATCTAGGGAAGGTGTCACAGAGGAGAAACATGAGCTCTGTCTTGAAGGATAATAACCTTCCTGATTATATTTCATGAATTGAAATAATCTTTGGGACAATTTTATGATTATTATTTAGTATCAATTATGTTGATTATTTACATTATAATCATGGGAAAAATGGTAGCAAGACACATTCCATTCATTTATGACATCTTCCATAAGAATTTGTCTTATGGAGTACTTCAACGTGGAAGGAAATAAAAATTCTTACTTTGTGTATGATTAACAACAGCTGTTTTGCCTTTACTATCAATGGCCAAAGTTCATACTATTTTAGACAGGTAGGATTGAAATGGAAGGTGCACACACACACAAAAAAAAGAGTACAAATTATACTGTTTATGCATAATTTCACCTCATAGTTTGAGAAATGACTGCAATTCTCATATTTGCCTTCTTCTTCCACAATAAAACTGTAAAACTTTTTTTTATTTGAAAATATCATGGATTTTAAAAGTTACATGCCTTTTGCATTCCAAAATAAAAGTATGACCTATCCTAACAAATGTTCTTCAATATGTTTCTCAAAGTTGTATATGTCATTCTTTCCTTTCGTTTCCCTTCTGACCAATATTACTCACGAAGAACTGGATGTGGTTAATTTATACCTGGAAATTTAGCTGCTAACCTGGCATCATTTGTGGTACCAAGGCTATCATGAAAACCTGATTTCTAAGGACAGTTCGAATGTTACCAGATGGTGAGCAATACTGTAGTAACCAAGCAGCTCTGTTACTATCTGATGAAAAAAACAATGAAAATCTAACACACATATCAAAATTAGGACCATGTATCTATCTCCTATTATAGTCTCTACCACTGCGAGTATGAAGGACTTGTGACAATATGCTTGACATGCCTCCTTATCTACTCAGGGATGTGGGGTTGTTAAAATCCAGAGTTTAGTTAAGAGTATACAAACTCAAAACCAAAAAGCTACCTTAAACAGATAACCTTAATATAGGCTTCACAGACCACAGAGAAAGTGAGGGGGCAGGACAGAAAAAGTCAACTGTTGGCCATAATTACCTTTGTCACTGGTATAAGGTGCGTGGACATTATTGCTGGGAACGGACACATTTTGGTGGTGTGGCTGGTTTACAGTCTCTAAAAATGAAACCAGATTCTCATGATGTGACAGTTCTTCGGCAACAGGGAAGGAAACGATGTTCCAGTTCAACTGCGTGTCTCCCTCGGTGAGCGCCCGGAAGAGAGAGGGGATCGGCTCATGAAGCTCCTCCACTGTGCTCTTCGAAGTGGGAGGCGTGTCGCTGTAATTTCGAGGATTACACATACCTGGGGGTGCGAGGGCAAAGAGGATAATCAGTTTACTCTTTTCACTAATTGTAATGTCATGAACTTGCTAATTACCCTGGAATCGAAGCCCCAATATATTAAAATTATGTGACATACAGTATTATAGTTATTTCTCTAGCTTTTGTGCTGTTGAGAGGGACTTGAAGAGATGAACATCACGAGCATCAAGCACACAGAGTGTCCACACTATTTTCTAAGAACCCATCCTCCACTAAGAGGAGCCAGAAGTCCTTGGAGAAGAGAATGATTCTAGGGATAGATCCTGGAAAGTACAAAATGGCCCTTTGCATGCCAGAAAGTAAAGAAGGGTGGGATGTGTTAAAATACATAGGAGGCAACCAAAAGGGGCTACCCCACTGGCCAAATCGATATATTACCACTAAAATAAGTAAAGACAGAAATGGATTAACACTTTGGGAATAAAACAGAAATTGATGAGTCTTTGAATTATAAATACGTGAATGAGGACATGGAGGAGAATGGAAAGCTCTTCCTTTTACTTGAGTGCCAACTGATAAGTGCAGAAGGTCTGAAGGAAATAGAAAATCCTGGCGACCATCACAGAAGTATATGATTCAGATGGTAGTTGTCAATAGATGGTAAGACCAGTGGGTGGAGGCTTGATGAGGAACATATTGATGTACTCTTGGAAAACTCTCTACAAAATACTAATCCATTACAAAGGGGTTAATGAATGTGGAAAAATCTGGCAGCCAATAGTGTAACCAGGAGATGAAGGTTAGCATCGTCAGTTATAGGATAGTTTGATGTTGGGTGTCCCTTAATGTCCTGCAAAGTTTCATTTCAGTGACACTGCTGCCAAGAATGTGTGACTTAAGTATGATCATCAGTCAACATTAGGTGGATCAAAACTGAGGATCATCCTACGAAACAAAGTCTGTAGCCATTAAACCACCATGGTTGTTTCAGTTGAATGAGTCTGAAGAGACAGGACAACTAAATAAATAAAATCCTGGACCAGAAAGGAACAAGAGATACTGTTGAAACGGTTGGCAAAATATAAGTGGGGTTTGTGATTGGGAGGGTTATATGCTAGTTACATAGGAGAATATCCTTGTTGTTGGAGTATTTAGTAATGATGGGACATAATCTGTCAAGCCTGCTTTCCAAACTTTCAAAAGAGATGAATGATCATGAGGGTGTGTACCCATAAATGTGTATTCGTGTGTGTGTGCAGGGAAAGGGAGAGAGTCAGGGGTACTAAGTCATGGAGCAAATTCATTAATGTTAATAACTGGGGAATCAGGCTGAGGGGGAGAGTCCTTTTATCCTTCTGGCAATTTTTTCCTACATTTGAAATTATCTCAAAATAACTTCTTGTAAAAAGTATTTTTAAAAAGAGAAAATGGCAGAAAAGAATAAGAAATGGTGACCATAGAAACTTTTTAGAGGAATCTTGTTTATAAAAGAGAGAGCTGTTTAATCAAACCCTGCTTTCGAGTTGTCCCAGCTGACACTATGTGTAGTAGAAAAGAGCTACCCCAAAGAACCATACCCAAAATGCAGGTTCGGGAGCTAATTAAGTTGTTGTTGTTGTTGTTGTTGTTATTATTATTATTATTATTATTATTACCCACTATGTTTTGGGGTAGGTTGTGTAATGTAGCAATAACATTGAACAGAGTTTTCTGGACTTCTTTTTGTGAATATTATATTGTTTTAAATATATATGTTTTTTAATATATTTTATTGATTTTTTTACAGAGAGGAGGAGAGAGGGATAGAGAGCTAGAAACGTCGATGAGAGAGAAACATCGACCAGCTGCCTCTTGCACACCCCTACTGGGGATGTGCCCACAACCAATGTACATGCCCTTGACCGGAATTGAACCTGGGACCTTTCAGTCCGCAGACTGATGCTCTACCACTGAGCCAAACTGGTTTTGGCTAAAAATATTTTTTTAAATTGATTTTTAAAGAAAGAGGAAGGGAGAGATAAAAGAGAGGGAGAGATAAAAATCGAACTGAGTGCAAAACATCTATCAGCTACCTCCTGCACTCCCCCACTACAGATGAAGCCTGCAACCCTGGCATGAACCCTGACCAAGAATCATATTGGGAACCAATGCAAAACTGAGACAATATTATACTTTTAAAGACTAAATTATGTTTTATTCTTATTTAGCATCTATTAGGTCAAAAGTGGAGTTTTTCTTCTTTCCCAGATTAAAAGTTTGAAAAGTTAGATGAAATTTATAAATTCCTATATTTTATAAACTTAGAAGAAAAAACCATCTCACGTGTTTTCCACATGTTTATAGTTTAAGGAACATGCCAGAACTGAGGATTACAAGGTTGTGTGCATGCTCTTTGTAAAATCTTTCAATATGCCTGAACTTTTATGACTTAGGTTGTGTGACAGAGTCATGGATTAAATGATCAAATATGACTCCTTTGATCATAAAGGAGGAAATATGCCCCATTAATTAAACGGTTTGTCCAATGTTATACAATCTAGGACTAGAGCCAAGATTATGATGCAGCCTGAGTTCATGTGCACTTCTCTGATAATAATTTGAATAATACTCAGAATGTTTGTTTATATAAATGTACATGGTATATTCTTCTTTCAGATTCTATAATTAATGAAATTCAGTAATCAGAGATAAAAAGGCAAACAACTTAGTTCAACAGAAGAATTAAACTCAACATCTACTGAGACTTTATTTTTTTAAATATATCTTTATTGATTTCAGAGAGGGAGAGGGAAAGAGAGATAGAAACATCAATGATGAGAGAGAATCATTGATTGGCTGCCTCCTGCACATCCCACACTGGGGATCAAGCCCACAACCTGGGCGTGTGCCCTTGATCAGAATCAAACTTGGGACCCTTCAGTCCACAGGCTGACGCTCTATCCACTGAGCAACACCAGCTAGGGCTACTGAGACTTTAAAGAAACTCCTGTGGTCATTACAGATTTCATTGCATTAAAAACAAAACAAAACACTGTTTTGGAGTTTTGTGCACTTAATAAACTTAGATAAAAAAAAATTTCTAATTTAACTCTCAATACACTGCATTAAAACCTATAAGCATGGCCCTAGCTGGTTTGGTTCAGTGAATAGGGCATCGGTCTGTAGACTGAAGGGTCCCAGGTTTGATTTCGGTCACAGAGTCGGTTGCAGTTACATTCCCAGTAGGAGGTGTGCAGAAGGCAGGTGATCAATGTTTCTAACTCTCTATCCTTCTCCCTTCCTCTCTATAAAAAAATCAATAAAATATATTTAAAAACAATAACAACAAAAAACACCTATAAGCATGAAGCAAATGCTTGCCAGGTAACAGTTTTCTGTGGGACCCTCCATTTCCTGCCTACAGCACTCTCAAGTTCTGTATTTTTTCATGGGGACTATCCTACTGGAGGGAGGAGTCATCCTTTAAAATTTCTGTAGATTCTTTAGTTGTCCATATTCATTATGTACAAAGGGTCAAATTCTGTGGAGAGTTGCTAACCACCATAGTTTAAATCAGTTAATGAAACCTTTCTGAGAAGCATCTCACCGTTATCCTGAAGTTTATCACTATAACAGGTCTTTTCTTTAACTAGAGTTTATTTTTGGAGCTCTCCTTTCTTTTTATGATCATTTTCTTGAAATAGTTTGTCACTTTGTGGCATTTTCTCACAACAAAAAAATTTAAATACTAATTATACTAAAAAGTTTCAAGAAAGTGGCTCTGCATATGACTGTCAGGGAGGCCAAAAAATTGGGAAACAGATGGCAACAGTTGACAAGGCAAGCATTTCAAATCCTTTCAGTACACAGAATTCTGACACTATTTTTTTCTCTCTCTTTTAACTTGATTTTTACTGTTTACATTATTACAGATGTCCCCATTTTCCACCAAAACAAAACCAACAAAACCAAAACAACCAAAAAACCTGTGGTGGAGATCTAGGTTCCGAAATCCATGGATGGCAGGGATGAAAACGAGCGATAGTGGTCACTCTTGCCTTAAGGCGAAGTCAGAAAAGAGAAACTAATTTTCTTGTACAAGGCAGTTGGAGGACAAAGCTTGGTAGACAACGTCTGAGCTAAAAGTCCAGAGTTAGACAGGAAGGTGAGGCTGTTCTCTAATCTGGGTCCTTTCAGAGGTCTGTGCACCACCCAGGAAAAGTGTGGGGAGTGTTTCAACTGAGACGGGAGGAGTGGCCACAGGTTTGCATAGGACATCAAAAAAGCCTAAACTGGAAGAGAAGTGCCTACAAGGAAAAGAGTATTGCTGTACAAAGAAACTGAAATATCTACATTTTATCCTAGAAAATAGAAAGATTAACTGAATTTAAAATGAAAGATTAAGTTATATTATAAACTCACTCAAAATTGGTATCCAATCCTTAAAGGACAATAATTATTTTAATGGTAACTAGCCCAGAAAAATACAAGTTGTTTCTAAAATTGTAGAGATATGAGCATGTATCACTATTCTTACTCAGTAGAAGAATTACAGACCTCCTTTCCTAGAAGCTGAATGGCACGTTACCACTGTGCAATAGTTAACACACACACACACACACACACACACACACACACACACACACAATTTTCTAAAACAACCAAACTACAAATGACAGCATTCCATAAACACTTTTGCAACTTGCTATTTTTTATTTAATACACTATGTAGACTGTTGCTCAGAAAACCTTAAAAACAGATTTTAGTTTCTAAAGAATCTTTTAGTGAAATCTTATATAAAGGAAGATAATCTATATATTTTTATTATGCTAAGTACTTATTCTTTATTTACAACTATAAGACATGCTTCTTACAAAAAATTCAACAGTGTAAAAAAATTAAAAAGTAAAAAAAAAATCCTGTTTTTCCTCCACTCCTACTTCCTAAGGATAAGCACTTTTTAAAACTTCCTCTAAGAGCATTTTCTATAAAAATACAGATAAACAGGGTAAGGCAAAGTAGGTTTACAGTTGTTCACATGGTAAATAATAAAAAATAATACAAGAATAAACTCTATGTACTCACAACTATAAACTTATTTTTGCCCCACCCTATATGTAAATACCATCTAATAAAGCAAATATAAAATGTTCTTATACTTAATATGTTTTTTTTTAATGTTTTTACTGATTTGAGAGAGAGAGAGGGAGAGGCAGAGAGAAACATCGATGTGAGAGAGAAACACAGTTTGGCTGCCTCCTGCAAGCCCCTCACTGGAGATTGAGCCTGCAACCTGGGCATGTGCTCTGGCCTTTTGGTGCATGGGACGGATGCTCAACCAACTGAACCACACACCAGCAAGGGCTATCTATTATATCTTATTCACATCCGCATCTATACATTTATATTCTTTAAAATCGCTTGCAGTCAGGACTCTCAGATAAGAAATATTAAGAAACTTTACTTCATGTGAACTTACCCACACAATCACAGCACTCGTCCCAGAGGGTCCCGAGACACAGCATGCACTCCTTGCAGCAGGAGCAATTTCCTTCTCCAGGCCGGCACTGGCAGAGCTCCTAGAAACAGACGTTCAAACTTAAAATTCCAAATAACCATATTTAAAATTGTTGATTATTTGCAGTAAAAAAATAAATAAATTTGCATTTATAATTTACTCTTCATATAATTTTAAAAAAATACATTAAAAAGAAAGAAGAAAGAAGAAGAAAGGGAGAGAGAGGTAGAGACATCAATGATGAGAGAGAATCATCAGAATGCCTGGTCGGTGAGGCACAATGGCTACATCAGTCTGCATTCCCACCAGCAGTGTACTGGGGTTCTCTTATCTCCACATCCTCGCCAGCACTTGTCATTTGTTGATTTATTGGTGGGAGCCATTCTGGCAGGTGTGAAGTGATACCTCATTGTACATTCATACCTCAGTTCATGGAAAAAATGTTTCTGTTTTCAAACAAAACTTCAGTTCTCACACCCAGCACCCATTTTTGATAAAAACTCTCAGTAAAGTGGGAATAGAGAGAATATACATACCTTAACATAATAAAGGTCACATATGAAAAACCTACAGTCATCATACTTCACTGGGCAAAAACTAAGAGCATTTCTCTTAAGAACATTTACAAGACAGGGATGCCTGTTTTCACCACTCTTATTCTACACAGTGCTGGAAGTTCTAGCCACAGCAAGCAGAAAAAATAAATAAAACACATTCAAATTGGAAAGCAGGAAGCAAAACTGTTATTATCCACAGATGATATGATATTATATATAGAAAACCCTAAAGACTCCACCAAAAAAACTATCAAATTTAATAAATAATTTAGCAAAGTAGCTGGATACAAATTTAACATCCTGAAATCAATGGCATTTTTATCCTATATAATAAAAGGCTAATATGCAAATTGACCAAATTGATGACACCCACCCAAATTGCTTTGACACCCACTGACTACCAGGGGCAGACACTCGATGCAGGAGCTTCCCCCTGGTGGTCAGTGTGTTCCCATATGGGGAGCGCTGCTCAGCCAGAAGCCCTGAGCTGGCTCATGGCTGGCGAGTGCAGTGGTGGTGGGATGTCTGACTCCTGGCATAGGCCTGTTTCGGGCCTAAACCATCAGTTGGATATCCCCCGAGGGCTCCTGGACTGCGAGAGGGCACCTGCTGGGCTGAGGGACTCTCCCCCTACTGAGTGCATGAATTTCATACACTGAGCCTCTAGTATACCAATAATGAACTTTCAGAGAAACTAAAAACACCAACACTCTCCATTTACCACTGCAACAACAACAAAAAAATAAGATACCTAGAAATAAACTTAACAAAGGAGGTAAAAGACCTATACTCAGAAAACTACAGAACATTGAAAAAGGAAACAGGTCAAAGTATATACCATGTTCATGGGTTGGAAAAATTATCGTCATTAAAATGTCCATATTACCCACAGCAATCTACAGATTCCAATATATCCCTTTTAAATTACCATGAGCATATTTCACAGAACTAAAACAAATACACCAAAAATTTATATAGAATAGAAAAAGACCCTAAATAGCCACAGCAATCTTGAGAAATGACAAAATTAGAGGAATTACAATACCAGATATTAAATTATACTACAAATCTATTGCATCAAAACAGCCTGGTACTTGCCGAAACCGGTTTGGCTCAGTGGATAGAGCATCGGCCTGCGGACTGAAGGGTCCCAGGCTCTACTCTGGTCAAAGGCATGTGCCTTGGTTGTGAGCACGTCCCCAGTGGGGCGTGTGCAGGAGGCAGCTGTTCGATAATTCTCTCTCATCGATGTTTCTAGCTCTCTATCCCTCTCTGTAAAAAAAATCAATAAAATATATTAAAAAAACAAACAAAACAGCCTGGTACTGGCACAAGAACCAGGATATAGGTCAATGGAACAGAACAGAGACTCCAGAAATGATTACTGTTTTAAACCACTGAACTCTGAGGTGGTTACTCCATGAAAACTAATTAATACAGCTTCGCTTCGTAATTTTTGCCCTTAACACCAGACAGTCCCAACTTAAAAGGAAATTCTGTAGCCACCATCGCCTACTTGGCTTTTCCTGGGTCACGAGAACTAAAACACAGCACATAATATTTATCCCTATTAAATTCATCTTATAACATTTATATACTATTGGAGTCACTTCATCACTCTAAAATTACATGTTTTTGTCACTGCTATTTAATCACACCGATAATAAACAATGACATGTAATTCCCAATTTCTTCTCCAAAAGTCCTCTAGCTATTACACAGCACTTTCAAGAATCAACACTTGTACTATCCTAGCTATTTAATTAGTTTGATGCCAATGCATATCTGAAACACAATAAGTACAAATTATAACATTTTAATACTGTGGAATTCGGTAGGGTCGGCTGTTTTTCACTATAGGTAAGTTTGCTAGGCCTGTGAGAAAGAGAAGGACGAAATGGGCAGAGATTTTGTGAGAATTTCCGATGCCTCATCACAAAACTGGTGATGCCTGATTCAGAGAAGCCCAAACTTATTTGGAAATCTAGAAAAACACAGCCACCAAAAGTGATCTCTGTGACTTGTTTCTCCATGAAAACCTGTCTGTCCTGTCTTTGGAATGAGATAACATTTCTGAAAACACATTTTTCAAAAAACACCATCAGCGTTAAGGATGTTGATACTTTTGGTTTTTAGTATTATAAAGATTGTCACAAGAAATAAAGGTTCTTTTAAATTTTTAACTTACATTTTACACAGAAAATATCCCTTCACTATTTTATTTGCTTACATTTACATTATCTATTTAGCTCAGGAGAAATGATTTAGAAAAGTAACAAATTTATTCAAAGAATACATTTCTCCCTTTCCCTATCAATCAATTTCTAAACGGTAGCCTGTTAAATGAATTAATGTTATGCTAAATAATTTTTAAATAAATGTCAATAATAGCTTCCATTAGAAAAACTATATTTGTAAAGCATTCATTATGCCTTTCATTGTCAGGTATTTGTGAGGTGTTTTAAATTGGAATGAAAGGAGTGATATCCTAAGTTACTGCTAACTTATGACTAAAAGTCGCTTGAGCCCTGGTTGCTTTGGCTCCTTGTTCGGGCATCATCCCATGCACTGAAAGGCTGCTGGCTTGATTCCTGGTCAGGGTACATGCCTGTGCTGTGGGTTCCATATCAGGTAGGGGGCATGCAGGAGGCAGCCGATTGAGGTTTTACTATCACTGGATGGTTCTCTCTCTCCCTCTCCTTTCCTCTCTCTCTAAAAATCAATTTAAAAATAAAAACAAATTAAAGATGCTTGAACTTGCCTGAATTACTCTGCCCTCAAGATTCAAACCTATTTCACACCCTCTGAATAGATGTCTCTACTTTTCCATGCCAGTGTAACAGAATAATGTAGAGTAGTGATATACTTAATAATTACAATTTACTGACAGAATACAAAGTGAGAGGCTATAGAAAGCTGAGACATGGGGGAAAGGACTTAAATATAAACTTTATTACCACACTATTAAATGACTGTTAAAACTAGTTAAATGCCAGGTAAAATGTTTGCTAATATTTTTCTATCTTTCCATCTTACTACAGAAAAGACTCCAAAATATTTGTTTTCAGAAAACAAATTTAATCACATAAACTAAGAAATTTTACAAGCAAATAAGTCTCAGGACATATTTTAAAAATCTCTATTCTTCATAACGAATGCAGCATCCCTTTCCAGAGACTGGGAAAGAAGGAAAATGAGACCTTCACACCAACCTTTTAGTCAGCATTTGTAGCTTTTCAGTTTTCAAAAATACATTTAACTTCTCACTTTTCAGGAGAAAATTCCATGCAGATTTAACATATGACATTTAGGATCTCAAAAACCTAACTTTAAATCAAGAGAGCAAAACTATATGGTAATCATTTGCTTTATGACCATTAAGTCAAGAAAAAATGGAAACAATTCATTTCCATGTGTAAATAATTATAACAGTCACATGTAGTTCACCAAGTAATTCATCTTTCCTATTCAATTTACATGTCTTTTAAAATCACACTATTGAATAATATTTGGTCATAAACATATTTGGAAAAGTATACTTTAATTTTTTGACAGCAAACAAACTGTGGTTAGAATGAATGTTTCAAAATATAAAACACATTTCTCAAGTGCTTTGAACCTAAGTATTGGAAATACAAAAGAAAACAAAACAACTCAAAATGTAATTCTCTGTGATGAATCAAGCATCACAGAAAAAATTACTCCATTTAAAAATGTTCAGCAGAATCTTTTCTTCCAGACACTTAAAAAGAAATCTTTTCCGCTAGTTGTTTTAGTTGTGATAATAAACAATGACATGTAATTCCTAATGGGCAAATGAATCTTCCATAACCAGAAAGAGGCTAGAGTCAAGATAACGGTAATGCCTTAACATTTTGTAGATATTTATTTGATTTATAAATATTTTAAAAAATATTTACTAGAATACAAGGAAAAAACACTCAAATTCCTCCCGCTTTGGTAAATTCCTATGAATTTCTAAGAAAATAATGAGTGTATACTGTCCTGTTTAAAAAAAAAAAAAGCAATTCCCTATTATAAAAATCTGTCAACATAACTTAATGGCTGCATAATAGGACTTAAGTTCCAGACCCTTCCACACTTTGCCCATGTTCTTACCCTTTGCCACTCACTACCTTCCAGAGACTTCATTATCTTCCATTTCACTATTATTTCAAAGCCTTCCATTTACTAAATTAAAAAAAAAAAAAAAAAAAAAAAAAGCTTGTGTTGAGATGTTGAATTTTCTATTTGGAAAATTTGACTATATGTTTTTCTAACTTCACTATAACTAAACTTGAGCACTGCTCAGTTGAATGGAACATGTGATCACAAAGTTCACCGTAGTCCAAAAAAGACTGACTCAATGCTTCCATTTATTATATTTACTGCACAACCTCCCCCAAGTTCCTAAGAGGGTTTTATTTTATCACTAACAGGCAGTGTGCTAAGTGTTTCCTATGCAGAATCTTGAATCTCAGAGTCCTACTAAGATAGTTATTAT